CCCTGTCCGCCTTTGCCGCCCATGGGGACGGGACAACGCCGTTAATAATTCCTATTACCGGCATTACCCTCCCCCTCCCCCGGCGGCGTTACCGGTCCTCGCTCCCCGAGGGGACCCCGTGGGTCCTCGCTCACGCAGGAGCGTGAGGCGGAGAAGGGCAGCGAGGTGGCTGTGCACAGCACAGTGGGCCACACGGGGCTGAGGACGGGGCCACGCAGCCCCAGAGCGCGGTTACGCGGTCCACGTGTCACTCCCACCCTCAAATACCGGTTGAAAAACTTACTAAAAGCCTACGGCTCCAAAAAGAGAGCAATTCCCCCAAGAAAAATTACGTTCATTTAACTTCATCTTGACACTAAAGAAGGAATTCCTTAAAAGCCCCAGAAAACGACCAAACGTGGTAATACAAATTAAAAAAACCCAAACAAAACAGGGCAGCAGATTTTGAGCTTGCTGCCAGAACACACACAGAAGGAGGAAGGTCACGGATGTACAAGACATTAAAGTTCACAGCCATCGTACTCTGCTCCTGCTCAGCAGCGAGGACCACAGGGACAGCCCCCAGCGGTGGGTCACCGTCCCCAGGACCGGCCTGCAGAGAGCTGTGACCAGCAACCACGCTGCTCCGCACCTTCTGGCCCCTTTGCCAGGTGGAGGAGGGCTGGCTTCAAACCCTGAGTTTTCCCTCCACTTAAACATCTTTAAGTAGGAAGAGCCGGGCACCCCGTGGCAGCAGAAATCTATTTCAGGCTGAGAGAGTTGGAGGGGTTCAGCCTGGAGAAGGCTCCGGGGAGACCTCAGAGCCCCTTCCAGTGCCTAAAGGGGCTCCAGGAGAGCTGGGGAGGGACTCTGCATCAGGGAGGGGAGCCGTGGGACGAGGGGGAATGGTTTGACACTGGAAGAGGGGAGATTTACATGAGATATTAGGAAGAAATTCTTTGCTGTGCGGGTGGTGATCCCCTGGGGCAGGTTGCCCCAAGAAGCTGTGGCTGCCCCATCCCTGGAGGTGTTCAAGGCCAGGGTGGACGGGGCTTGGAGCAACCTGGGCTGGGGGGAGGTGGCCCTGCCCAGGGCAGGAGGTGGCCCTGGGTGGTCTTCAAGGTCCCTTCCAACCCAAACCAGTCTATGATTTCCCAGATGAGAAGGGGACTACTAACCCATCGTAACAGCGCACATCAGAAAGGCCATCACCAGAAATGCACACACCACACCTCAGCACACAAATACTGCTCTCCTCAGTTTTGGCCACTGTTCAAACCCCATTACTGATCTACCAGGCACACCCCATTCGTCTGCGGGTTATTTCCATACAGGGATTCCTTTGCTGCCCCACAGCAGCTCCCAGTTCAAGGCTTCTTACCGCTAGCAGAATTTCTTACAGTATTCACTACAAACCTAAACCAATCCATAGCATGATGTTAACACAAATGGAGAGGATATGACCCTTCTTGTAATGAGGGATGCCCCAGACCTGACGGAGCATGGCCAGGCCTTACAGACACTCCCAAAATACACAGATCACGTCACAGCACAGCAAACACCAAACTTAACATCAAGTATGGTATAGGCTTAAATTGTAATAAAAATTACTCCCTCAAACAGAGGCTAACTCAGCCATCCATGTGTCATATGTACTAATTTGGTGCAAATTCCTCAGAATTTCACACATACAGGAATTAAGCTCCATGTGTTTAGTCAGGAGATGGCTATTTAATTTTTTCCCCATAAAAGCCAGTATTTATGCCCTCTGTAACTTGTTCCTTTATTCCGAGGTTTGCTGTATGTGCAGGAGATGGTTTAACTACCATATATAGTTCATGCGGATGCAGATGTGCAACTTACGACTGGCCAGAGAAACGTGAGAAGTTTCCCAAACTCTCTCTCACACATGAGCCTTTTAAAATTAACTGAAAGGGCCCATAGTTGGGGAAAAAAAAAATACCTGCTTCCTTCTCCTCTAAGCTCAACATACTTCACCTTAAATTGAAGTTTTGGCTAAAGACCTGAATTTTAGACAGATTGCCAACTATCACCTCCTGGAAAAGAGTACGTTTTGCGATCCCTGCTATATCCTGGAAAAGAGCAGGTTTTGTGATCCCTGCTCTAATGCATTCTGAATGTTAACAGCAGGTAACGCGAGCCATTTCCTCCTGCTACTGTGTTCAAAGTACCCGCTCCAAAACCGCCGTCAGTCAGCGAAGGCTGTGGCTGTCGATTGCTTCACACCGTACGCTACAGCATTATCAGAAGACTGCCTTATAGACAACCAGGCTTATTTCTCCTAGAAGCATGGAATGAGTCACATCCTGACAAAAAGCACATCTCCACCCGTGAACGGTTTCAAGATGACAAGAGTTTAGATAGCTGTAATCCACTTTTCCTGTTAAAGAGAGCGCTAGAACAGCGCTTAGGAAACATGAATGGATTTTGTGTGTTTTCTCCAGCAGACACGGGTGAAAACAAAAAGGCTGAGCAGCAGACTGCAATTTTGCACTTATCTATGGCACAGCAAAAATACCAAAGTACTTCTTTTCTTTAAAAAAATACCACCATAATTTCAAGCGGTCATGACTATTTTAAATGTAATGACTAACTGCAATTTATAGAAAAACTTCCCTGTCAAAAGGCCTTGCTGACCTGAGTGTTACGGCACAGCACAGCTTCCCAGCCCCCGAACTGAAAAGCTCTCTTTAAAAACAAGCTGCAAAAACCTCACGTTACGTACCATCCCGCCACCGAGCACGCTGGCCGCCCCACCAACTCCTAAGCTAAACGTTGAACAGTCATTCCCCTGTTTGCCTCGGTGTCTGTGAATGTGAAAGGTCTTTTGGGGGAGAGGAGGAGACAGGCCACCTCTCGCTAACAGGGATTCTTTCCATGAACTAAGCTGTTCCAGACAGAGCGTGGAAGGTGCACACAGAAACTCCTCATGAAGTGGGCTGACGATTTTACCGCACTGGGCTGTCACAGTATTACAGTTTATGGTTATTGTTAATGGTGCAAATACAGTCGCGTTTTGTTTTGTTCCCTTGAGTGAGTGAGAATTGGCACTTAACCCCCTCCCTCTGCTTTCGTTTATTCAGTGTTCAGAGTCCCCCCCCTCGCTTTATGCCGCAGAGATGCAACCGCCGCCCTGAAGAGCTTACTTTGTAGTGGGACAGAACAGATAAAAGAGGATGGGCCGCGAGGGTTATGCGCTTCTCTCTCCATGACAGAGCCTGAGGAACTTGAGGACACACAGGATACGCGCTGGACGTGGAATCTCTTCAGTCTCAAAATCACAAGATGCTCATCTTCAGCCTCAGTGCACACAGGCTTAATTTGGTCCTATTTGTTTAAATTGAAACCCTATTAAAAACAAGACTGGAAACACAAAGACAGCAGCACAACTGGATCCTTACTGTACCTGGAAGAGATTAGTACTGCTTAATTGAAGAATAAAGATCGCATCTTCAAGAGATACATTTTATTTAACACACAAAACAGCTACTTTGCTGTTTAAGTTTTGGCTTACATAGTGCATTAAATTGGCAAATTAGGCCTAAAAACCTCTACTTTTGAGAAACCAGAAACATTACTCGCCATTCTATGGTTTGCTGCCAAAGAACATGGCGATAACGTTTGCACAAGCTCTCTTTTGGATAGTCTAAGCCTACCTCGAGGGAAATTTTGTCATCAATATACTTGTAAGATCAGGCACTGCATATTTCATAACGGGGTAAAGCAAGTATGGTAATTGCAAACCAATTTCCAAATCCTGAGAGGGTAGTTTAAGTAACTGCAGGTTATTACTCTCCAGGAAAGCTGAAGAAATATTTTGCTAAAATACTTATTTTCAAATTTCGAACAAGTAACGTGAAGTTTACAGCTACCACATGCTGATCTGCATGCTATAGAAGATTCTCCACTGACTTAATTGATCCTGCTTAGGGACTCAGCGGAATTGCACTGGCAAGGACCGAAAGAGGGGAACATACCGGAGGCTGTCAAATCCTTGCAGGGAATACGACTCTAACCATAAGCCAAATAACGACCCCAAACTCAGCTCAATTGTGGCAGCACAAAGAAGAAAGAGTATTTCCGCTAGCAAAGCCACCTGCTAAAGCTAGGCACCAGGAAGAAATTAAGTCCTAGGCGCACAAGTAAACAGAAGTACTTGCAAAGCCCGATTTACGTATTGCCATTTCAGGACAATAAATATTTCTCTTCCCATAGTCTCTAAAAGTGGAACCTGTTCTCTTCTGCCACGTCTACCCTCGCTCGGCCAGGGCAGCCAAGTTACACACAGGCTGCACTCTTTGGCACTGCAGAAGGAACAAACAGGATACGGCATAGGTAAACACGTTAATTTCCTTTGCGATCCTACAAATGTAACTTGTGCCCTTAAGCACTGCACATCCATCTTGATGTTGGAGTATTATGTCGAGAAATCATCTTTTGCAAGTTTAAACAGACCGCTAATGGTGGCTGAACAATTTTACTTCCAAATAAGCTAATTAGTCTCTCTATTTTCTAAAGGTGATAAGGACCATCATCTAACATTTATTTTAAAAGATATGTTTTTTATAACAAACAACTCATTTTTGTTTCTGTTGCTATTGTTTGCACAGTGGTAGTGAGCAAGTGGGTAACTTTCCACAAGTGATGGCAATATTACATCCTCCAAAATGAACAGCTGAAGATATGGTTTATTCTTCACACAGAAAACTGACATGAATCAAAAGCTTTTTAACAAGACTTGATAAAATTAATATTCCTGAATTTCCCAATGATAGAACCAGGGCAGATATTCCTACAAGCCCCGAAGGGTGGTTTGGGGGAATAGACATTTAATACTTCCACTGCACAAAAAAAAGTCAAAAAACTTTACTTCTGCTTTTTTTTTTTTTTTTAGTCTTGAATTTTTCATATGAAAGAACAATGGAGAGATGCATTGCCATTTTTAAAGCCAGCCATTTCTTTCTTAGGACATAGTACAAAGCAGAGTAGAAGGATTCTTTTTTGAATGCAGGGCATTTAATAAATTAGTGGACAAACTGCTTAAACTGATGACACATGTTCACAGATATAAGTGCAACTATTTTTCTGAAAAGAAAGGCAAATTTGGCTGTTCCTCAGCACAAAGATAGTTTACGTACACCATGAGGTAAATACGTATTTGGCCGCAGATGATGCTAGTTCAAGTAGAATTTGCTTCTTTCTCCACGTCATCATCGTCGTCAACAACCTGAAATCAAATCCAGAAGTCACTTAGGTAAACAGTTTAAACTCTCAGTCCTGTAGGATTACATAGAGAATTTATTACTCTCTTACTAAATCAATATAATTTATTATAGCCTTGCTGGACGCAAGGAGAGCAGCAGTTATTCTACACCGCAGAATGACAATGGTCACGTGAAAAAAGTAAGAAAAACTTGCAATCAAAAATGCCAGGAGGAAATGTGGCTGAAATAATAGGAGCTGGTCGAGTTGTTACAAAGGCCCCTAGAACAATCACTATAGCCTATCAGACTTTTAATGAGAAAGCAATAGAAACTGCGTTTTAGGGGACAAAAGCTTGTTCCTTATTATCACACGAAGTCACCAAAGCAAAGGTAACAATTAACAATCACTGGCAAACACCGAGCGTGCAGGTTTGGGCTCCTCAGTACACGAGGGAGGTGAGCATACTGGAGGGAGCCCAACAAGGGATCACCTCCCTCAGCCGGCTCGCAATGCTCCCCTTAATACAGCCCGGGATGTCACCGGTCACCTTAGCCACACAGGCAGGTAGCTGGCTCAAGTTCAACTTGGGCTCCACCAGCACTCCACGTCCTTTCCTGCAAAGCCACTTTCTGGCAGGCAGTCCCCAGCTCTGTTTGGTGCACGGGGTTGTACGGACTTTGCAGAGTTCTGGATCTTTTGCCAAGATACAGCTTTTGACTTAAAAAAACCCTGCATCTATACATCCTGTACCTTTGCTTAAACTGCCAACCTGTCCACGCTGGAAAGGAACAAAGGCTCTCTTTTCCATTTAAAAGAAAACAGGTATTATCTCTCGCTGACCCACCTGTTCCACGCCTTCTACTTCAGGGATGTAGAACTGGAGCATGTTCTGAATCCCATTCTTCAGGGTGATGATGGAACTGGGACAGCTGGTGCATGAACCCTGCAACTTCAGCTGCACAATCCCATCCTCAAAGCCTTTATAAATAACATCACCACCATCTTCTTGCACTGTCGGCCTGATGGAACACGACACTCAATTTAAAGCAAGTATAGCTGAAATACGCTTCCTTCCAGAATTCTTTAGTAAAGCTCAATGTAATACATACAAAGAACTGCCGAGAACTAGTAACTAAAGCCCTCTTTCTCTACAACCACCCGGTTCAAGTTTTCAACAACACATACTTCGCTGGACTCTCTCACACTGACAGCTACTATTTTTCCATAGGACATTAAGCAAAACATATTTGCGATGAATGCAGCAGCATAAGAAGGAATCATTGAAATTCTAGGCAAGGCTAAGCACCTTCGAGCAGAGCTTGGTTCAGCCTGCAAAGAAATAGTGGTTTGCCTGGAGGCCCTCTCCAGCCGTAAGGATGCTTGCCTCTGGTATGTGCCACATGTAGTAGGTGTGTGTCCTACCACATGATACACGTGCATTGTTACCTGACTAAGGACAGTGATAAGAAGTCCTTAAGTGCTTCCATAAATGCGCAGTTCACCATAGTTTACGCAGGACAGAAAAAAAGCTCGGACTATATAGAAGCTTAATCCTGCTAACGGGTGAAGAAACCAGCATCTGATAAGATCACATCCCAGTACCATTAGCATTTCTGCAGCCTGGTCTCCTTTTGCGAGCACCAAATGCCCAGCATTGTAACTGTATCCCCATAGCAACATTTTTCCAGACCAAGCTAAACCCATCAAGTTACTCTAACAGAAGCTCTTTATACTGAATTCCAAAATAACTCTTTTGAGAGCTACACTCCTAAGAGAAGCATCTATGAATCTGACCCATTTATTAACAACTCACCACGGCAAATCACCTCCATTCCACAAAGCCAAAGAACATGACTAAAAATTCCATTTTTCTTAGTTGAAATTAACTTTTTTAAACACACCTTTCAGACCTTTCAGATCTACGTTCCCTCCATCCTCCACCTTCTGACAACTTCTTTGCACATATTATTGATTGACTAAACAATAAAAGCTCTGTACATACCACTGGTTTATATAAAGTTTCTGTAAACTATCCTGCTATAAAATGAAGTAAGATACGCTACTGCTAATACTCTCATCAACCACTTCTTGGTCCACTGAGGGGTGCAGGGGGAAGGGAAGGGAATGAAAGAAAGAAAAAGGTGGGGAGAACCAGAAATTTGGGCAGAAATTGTGTGACCATTACAAAAGGCCACTGGGAAATCCAAGGACTAACACATTGTAGGGAGCTTAAATGAGCACGTACCCAGCAAGAGCAGCGCCTCCTGAACGGTACTTTCTGCCATGCCTTTATACAACATTCCAACACTTGGTACATATGCTTGGGAAAAAAATGTTCCAGCTCATTTCTGCTTTTCTCCCTCTGGTGAGATGACTCCTACGACCGGAGTGTTGGCATGGAAGGCTACAGGCTCTTCAGGAGAGACAGGCAAGGGAAACGAGGAGGCAGTGTTGCCTTACATGTTAACGAGCAGCTGGAATGCATGGAGCTCACCCTAGGGATGGATAAAGAGCCGACTGAGAGCCTACGGGCCTGGATTAATGGGAAATCAGGAGCAGAGGACACTACAGTGGGGGTCTGCTACAGGCCACCCAACCAAGACAACTGAGCAGATGAAGCCCTCTGTAGACAGATAGGGACAGCATCACGTTCACAGACCCTGGTCCTCATGGGCGACTTCAACCACCCCGACATCTGTTGGAAGGGCAACTCAGCCAGGCATAGGCAACCCAGGAGGTTCTTGGATTGCATTGAGGACAACTTCCTTCTCCAAGTGGTTGAGAAGCCAACGAGGAGAGGAGCTATGCTGGACCTTGTTCTTACCAACAAGGAAGGGCTGGTAGACAGTGTCAAACTCAAGGGTAGCCTGGGCTGCAGTGATCAGGAAATGGTCAAGTTCGAGATCCTCAAGGCAGCGAGGAAGGTACGCAGCAGGCCGACCACCCTGGACTTTGGGAGAGCCGACTTTGGCCTCTTGAAGAATCTGCTTGGTATGGTGCCATGGGATGAAGCGCTGGAGGGAAGAACAACCCTAGAAAGTTGGTTAATATTCAAGGATCACTTCCTCCAAGTTCAGGAGCGATGCACCCCTACAAAGAGGAAGGCAGGCAGAAAAGCCAGGAGGCCTGCATGGATGAACAAGGAGCTCCTGGACATGATCAAAAG